ATATCTCACCATAATATAAAAACAAATAAATAAACATATCAATATATTAACATAATATAAATATATATTATACATATATAACATAAATTTATATCCTTTATCGAAATAATATATTTAACTAAAAATATTTAAATATCATAAATATCTTATATATATATATATCAAATAAATATGCCAATTTATCAATATTATAATTATTATAAAAATATATTTAAAATATAATATTTAAATGACATTGTTTATTTATTATATAGACCTTTTACATTTCAATTTAATAAATATATTATCATTTTCCACATTTTAAATTTTATTTATATTAAAAATTGGTTTAATAATACGACAATTGTTTTTAATATAAAAATAAATTTATAATAATTAAAATTCTTTTCTATATAATAATGTCGTACATATTACCTTTAATAATAGCATTGCTAATTTTTTAATTCGCCTAATAATTAAAACAATAATCATAATAATAATAACACTACTAATAATAATAATAAAAAAATATATATATTAAAAATAACTATAATAATAACAAAAATAATATAAAAAATAACCAATTATATCTTTTAAATATTAATTATATAAAAATCTATCGTCAAAATTCGAAATCAAAAAAATAAAACAAAAATTACACTAAACAAAAACGAAATTCCCTAATAATCTTCATAATTGAAAAATATATTATAAATATAGAAATTAAATTTTCCTATATTTAAGCATAATATTATCAATATATTATCGTTTTTAATAAATATATTATCGTTTTCCAAATAAAATGTAAATTATATAATCCCAATATCGAATTCTTTATTATATTATTTTCCATAAATAAATCAAATTATTCATTTACATATTTATAAATTATATATTTATAATAATATATAATTAAATATAACATCTATAATATTAAGAAATAATTATATTATTATATTATATATTATTTAATTATTTCTTTTAATTGTAACCATCTGTAAATGACCTTAGGAAATATATATTAACATATATCGAATATCATCCCGATATCCCGATAAATTACATTATCAATAAGATATCAATAATGATATTCAAGTGGCTCGTCTTGCTTGGGCGGCTGACCCTGCACGAAAATCAACAATTCCTTTGAAGGCTTGAGAAACTCTCAGCAGCAAAGTGGCAGCGGTGCCCCGCCTTGCATTCGAGTGCCAAATCCCAAAGCTCTGGAGATCCCCCTTCCCACGGCTCGACAATGTGTAAGGCGCCGTCAACCATCCTTGGTCCACAAGGAAACGTGGCTAATGCGTGTTTTCATTTACACGTGCGGCGGCATTTATTTGGTACTAAACTCAGATACACTATCTATTATGTGGGGGCCCCATCTCGTTTAGACTACTTAAGTAGGAGGTCATGTCACAGTATCTCGTTCAAACTACTTTAGTAGCAAATCACACTATCTCGTTCAGACTACTTTAGTGTCATCAAGTCATCAAGCAAACTATCTCGTTTATATGGGGGCCCTATCTCGTTCACAAGCGACTACTGATGATAGACGAGCAACTAAAGCATGTCGTGGACTACTTTAAACTTAGTAAAGCCTAAACAAAAGTTGTTGCTCATGAACTTACCTTGCTGGTTGGATGGGAAACCTGATTTTGAATCGAACTTTGATCGCTTTAGCAAGCTTCAACAAGCTTCCTTGCCTTGGTCAAAAAGAATCTTATCAAATACCTATCTTTATAGAGGTTAACATTACCAGGTCATTCATTATCTGGCGAAGGAATGGCAACTCTTTCCACATAAGTGCAAGTGTTACTTGACATCATTATTTGGAACATACCTTCTGCAACTTGGTCTAGGTTTTCAGCAGCTCAGGCACAGATTCAAGTTCTGAGGCTAGGCTTATCCACATATATATTTTGTTTTCTGAATGTCGTCACATCTCATGTCTTTCCTGGTCGGTGCTCGAAGCAAGTCACAAAACAAACAGCAAAAGCATGGGGTCCCTTCGATTCCTGATCTACGTCACTAGAGAATCCTAAGACTTTGCAAAGACTTGTCTATTTGCAATCCCTATCACCCTATCTAGAAGAAAAAGAAATACCCTGTTTGCCTTGTTGTAACTATCCTGTCGTCTCATCAAATGATTCAAACAAGTGACCCTGCATCATGGACATCTGGAGAGTCTTCGGCATCCCTCAGAACAGGTCCTTCAGTAAAAAGGAAGCGTGGCAAAGCAGCTGCTGCTGCTCGCAAAGCACACGCGTCCTGTGTTGAATTCAAGCAAATAGACGTCTTCGTTGTTGGTGACGATGTAGTCTGCACTGATGATTTCAAACCTTGGCGTTGCAGAACATGGCATGCACATCAGCGCGCAGTTCAAACATTTCCCAACACGCCCTTCTGTTTGACCGACCTCGACCCTCCACATGCATTTGCAGTCCTCAAATCTTCCGAGCTCTCATGTTGACAACAAAACGCATAGAGGTGTAGGGTAGATACAGTGTTTTCAGAATTCATTGTGGATTCAGTCCTCTCTCAAGGTGTTGTATTCGAGGTCTGGGCTGTCCACTTTTGGGTGTTCACTCCTTCGTTCTCTCTCTCTCTCTCTCCCCTAGCCGCTTGCAAAAGGACTACCAACGCTGACTTGTAGGCTCTCCTGAAGTTCTGGACATTCTAGATTGCAAACATAGGAAAGAAATGAACAGCTGCTCTACAGTTTGCTTAAATCTTTGAGGTAACTGAACTCGTAGGCAGCGAAAGCAACCTTTTCAGAAGTCCTGGATGGAACAAACATACTGTATCAAGCTATGGAGATATGGCTTCTGAAACACAAAAGGAGCTTATGTGAATCTCTGATTCAGGTCCCCAGCTTCCGGTCACCTGGCTTAAACCGCCCTTTCTAACACACAAACAAACAACAATGTACACTAAAACCCACGAACACGCCAAGCAAGCTGGCCCAGCCTTAGAAACATTGCAATTTGACGGTGGCACTGTCAGTGCAGGTAAGTTGATCAGGTTTGTTCCATCCATGGTCGTCCACTTGTGCAGAAGTGTGAACACGCATACAATACACATTAAACTTTGCAAATGGCTGCCTGCACCTCCCTTTTGAGAATGACTGCCGAGCTGCTGAATCTTGTTTCGACCCTCCAGCTTTCCTTGCTCTGCAGCTCGCTTGATGACCGTGGCTATGCCAGCCTCCAAGGCAAAGATCAAAACAGTTCGCCATAAGTCAAAGTTGCACGGAGTGCTGGAAACAGCGACTTGAACATCCAAACCGATAGCACTGCTGTGTACTGAAAGACAGATCTTTTTCTAGAGGGGACAAAAGAACTTTGCTCTTCTTGGGTGTAAACCCCTATGTAGAATCGAGTTGACGACCTTCCGAAACCTGCCACAAAAATTCCACAAAAAGATTTCTTGTTCGACCCACGGCCGACCCACATCAACACAGATGTGATGACAAACGGTGATGCCATGCCAAGCTTCCCACGCCTTGCACTTTCCATAGACTTTTGGCCAGTAGGGCCAGTCGTTTATTCTCTTGGTGCGAATGATTGTTACTTGGCACTCCTTGGACCTTGGAACGTCTTGGCCACAGCCACATAGTAGCATCGTCGTCACTAAGGAGTTGGTTTCAACTTTGGTCTCCCAAGTCCCTCATCGCATCGACTCTAGACTTCCAATACTACTTTGAAGTCCTGATCATATTGAGACAAGTTGCAAATCTTCTGGTGACCAAGGTTTTGGAGATATGCTCAAGTACCCATCCTTGTAGGTGTAAAGGCGCCAGGTCACACCATCGTCAAGGCCGATCAAAAGGTTGTAGAACCTTCAAGGCTGATGCGCGTCCCCAATACCGATCCATTAAAGGTGCCCTGTTAATGAAACACATCTTTCGCAATCCCAGCCGCTTGATGTGGCACTTTTCCCCGTTGGTGTAAAGCAGCGGATCGGGGATGTGTTTCTGCACGACATAAACTGCATCGCCTTTTGCCTTTTGTAAGCATTCCTTTGCACTGGCACAGCACACGACACCTCAGATTGACAGCTGATGGTTAAAGACAAGATAGCGAGATCCAAGCCTGCAAACTGCAAGCAAAACATAGGCAATCTGATGCAGTTTGCAAAGCTGCAAAGGATACTTCGATGCATCAAGTTCGGAAAGCGTTGGACAGCATCGCAAAACAGCTTCTTCCTTTCAGCTCTGAGTGTCTCGTGCCCCAATTTCTGTCCGTCTCCTTTAGAAACCATGGCCATGGACTGGCATCTGCTTCATTTTTCGGCACTTCTCCAAGCCATTGCCTGCGTTGCTGTGACCGGCAGTCCAAAAGGACTTGCATTCTGCAATTCTCCCGCCTGTTTTGGATCACATAAGTGTAAGGCATCAAATCCGGCACAAATTCATAAAGTTTGCGCTTATCTTCCAGCCAAATACCTCAGTGGTGCTCTTGCGGTTCTTTGAAACGTTGATGCCGCAACGGTGCGCTGGACATGACATCCGTCAGGTGAACACACAGGCAAGCTGCGTCCTTTGATATGCATGCATATTCGGCTGAAGTAGGTCTCGTCAGTAAAATCGACACTTTTCTTTCCAAGTGGGCAGTGGCTGAGTTGACCGTTGCGATCTTCAAACCATTTTTCACTTGGGTAGATCCTGCAGCACAACAAGACATCATCAAGAAACTGCCCCGATGCTAGGGATACTGGAGTTTTGGCGCACGCACATTCCTCCAGTTTGGTCGCTTGAGGAGATATCTGCAAAACCGTTGTCCGTGACCACCAACATGGCAGTCCGAGCCTGAGCTTGGGGAAACTGAAGCCACATGGAACGACGCTTGATTGCTTTCCCTGAATGGTTCGCTAAAAATGACAATCGCAACTTCAACAGGTCTGCAAAACTTGCCGCCAGGTCCAACGAGATGATTTGCAACTGATGTTGAAGCTTCTATCACATATGTAATCATATGAATCATAATAGTGTAGTGGGGTCAAGTACCGCTGAGGGTTCCTGTTGGGACACAAATTTGCTTTTTGGGGCTCCAGGACCAGGATCCAAGTGGTGGGAGGGTAATGACGTTCTTTGTGCAATTCTTTGTACATCAATGGATCTAGTAGCTTCAATTAGGCGGACCCTACAGCTGATCAGCAAAATGCAATCCCACCAGCAACTTCAGGTGGATCTTCTCAGTGCTCTCTCATGTTTGTGGAACATCGCTCAGAAAATAGGTTCAAATGATCTCAGGTGACGACTATTAATGTGAGTGATACACAGGCAAAGCTCAAAGAAAAGCTGGCTGAATACACTGTGTCTGTGTGTGTGCGTGTCTCAACTGTGGAAGTGAAGGCAAAATCTATGGTTTAATTCCAGCCCTTATGGAAGGGTATGCCACATCTATATAAATATAATTTATGTATATTACTGCATATAAATATATATATTGTAGAGATTTATAGATAAAGAAACTCATGGCCAAGTTGCAATAGAACCAAGTCCTTCAAGGAACCACACAACTTCATTTGCTTTGTCAACAACACTGAATCAATGAAGTCAATGCCCTCGGCCTTTTTGGTGGTTTGTGGCGCTGGCTGGCTGAGTGAATCTTGAGCGCACTTCAAGAGCAAAACTTCACGTTTACAGTTGACACAGTTCAGTTGAGTGAAGCATTTCTGATGCTACTAGTAACAAGAAGCTACTAGGGTCTCCTGGCATCGCTACTAGGAGCAAGGACGCTACTAGGGACTCCTGGCCTTACTACTAGTAACAAGAAGCTACAGCAAAATGTTATCACTTATGACTTGCCCCCACAGGAATCTGGTGGTAAGTGCCCGTACAGTAGAGTCAGCGCACCAGAAACATAAATCTCGAAGATGCCAGGTTCCCTACCAAGCTGTGAGATGGAAATTCAATAAACGAGTTAATGGGTTAAGCCGTATAGCGCACCTGAAACAAGCGACATCCTCTGAGTATCCTAAGAACCACACAATGAAGAACCACACACTGTATCGAGGTGCAAATCAAAAATTGAGAAGTGTCATCAAAATATACTTTTGTGTTGGATGTGTTTGGGACACAATGAACTGCCCTCCAAAAACAGCCAGAAGGAACAGATGCGACAACGGGCAAGAGGTTAAAGAGGCAAATGTCAAAGCGTTTCAAAAGGCAAGTGCACGACGTGTTGCTTCTTGAAAGGCGATCGAAGATCAAAGGCGACATGACATTGCGAGAACCGCTAAGTACAAAAGGTCCTTTAATTGTGACCTTCGTGCTTTTGCCCTTTGTACAGCAAGTTGACAAAAAAACGACTTGACAATTGAGCGGTGTTCAAAAACAATAATTCCTTTCTCATCTTTCTTATGTTGTAGACGTTTCCCCAAGTCCTGCTCATAGCATCTCACAGCAACACATTAACATTGTGAAAAATCATGTAAAATCAGTACGCGCCGGTCTAGTTGCTGCCTAAACCATGTTCTGTACTGCGCGCAAAGAATACTCTGAACTACTCCCGGAGACACATCGTTCATTGTGTTCCGCTAAGCTTGCCACACGAGAAACCAGCGATCACGTGGGAAAGCAAGTTAGAGGCTAGCGCAAAGTCGAAACATGTTGAAACTAGCTGTGCAGTCAGCCTGCCTGTTCGGTTGCACGGATTCCGTGCGGGGCTAAAACACGGGTTTATATGTGTTTATGGCATTTTGGGATGAACGTTCGACGTGGATGCTCTAGGCCTACTAGAGTGCGGGGGGGCTGGCGTAATAACGTTCATGCTTGATGCCGGGGATGAACGTTACTGTCGGGTTGGGGGGTGGGGGCTGGGAGAATAACGTTCAATATAGATGCTACCGGGATGAACGGCACTCCTTTGTTTGCGTACCCAAAGCTGCTCAATTATGTGCGAAGCTAGCAATTTCATGCAATTTCGGTGTCGCAAAAGAGGACCCCTCAGATCTCTTGCGTGCCATCGCAAAGTTCAAAGGAGATGCGCAAACGCATGAAGTGAGGAGAAAAGCACTGCTGCCACTGCAATGTAAACCACCAACACCCAAAAAACTTTTCCGAAAAAACACAATTTCTTACGGAAACTATTTTTCAATTCATACACATCTACATCTAAAAATGTTCACCAAAAAACACACAAACTCAAGAACGGTAACCCTAGTGGGGTTTCCAAATTTGCGGGACGCCCTCGGAGGTGGCCGTATTTCAAGTCTACCACGGCTCACCATATATAACGTGAACCCAATCAATGGCAAAACCTCAATTAGTGGCTCAAAGTTGGGCTGCTTCACACGGCAGAACTGGCAGCATGAAATGGAGTCTGGGAACACTCAATTGGCCTGCGTTAAACCGTTAAACGAATGCATTAGCAACCACTGTTTCTAGACCAACAAGGCTCGCTTGCACTCCTTCCGCACCCAATGTACCAGTCCTGTTTGTTCCCACTTCTGCTTTGTTTTTGCCAGTAAAGGGAGGACCGCCACCATTGATAATATCTTCAATCGACTTCCGAAGTGTGGTCATTTCCTTGGCAAAGAATGGGCACATCATTGAGCCTGCATGTATCATAGACAACCACAGACTACCACCAGACTCAAGGCAAGTTGGGAAGGCAAAACACAGGTTGAAGTGGTGCTTTGGCGCCGGAGTGCCTTAAACTCTTCAATGGCGACCAACACCACAGCACTAAAACAGAAAAGAGAAGAAAAGAAGAATGTAAGGGTCGCCCCTTCAATAAGGGGCCCCTAGTAACGGAGCCCGCCTTACCTTCATTTGTTAATATCTTTTATATGTTCATCTCTTGACCTCTTTTGTCACTCATGTCTCCCGTCGACTCTCGACAATTGACGGCCAAGACTCGGCATTGCTTTTTTGGATTTCCTGACTTGGTCTCAGATTCAGGCAAGGTCCCTATCAGTCTCTTGATTCAAGCTGGATAAGAATACAAATGTCTAGCAGGGTTTACAGTTGTGCAGTTTCACAATGGAAATCATCGAGGTCTCCTTTGACAGCAATTCTAGCGCACCCGAGCTAGCACACCCTCAAGGCCACACTGAGAACACCTTTACTCCCAAAGCGGCCAAGAGAACTTCGGGTCTTTGCTTTCTTTGCTTTTGTGTTCTTTTTTGTTGTGCAGACATTATGCCCCAAAGCCTAATAAGCAAGATTAGATACTTCGAGAAACTCCCTGCTGAAAAGCCCCTTAGGCCATGCAAAAAGGATTTTGGACTAAACGAGAACCCGCGACAATTTGAGTACAGTAAGTAGATCTGCAAAGTGCGTGTATTTGTGATGACATGCTTATCTTCTCCAGGGCAACTTGTGTTTCAGGTGGTTGAATGCTTCTTGGCATCTTTCTCCATCATCTCGATCTTCCTGGGTGTTTTGCTGGGCGGTGTAAGCAATGTTGCTCTTTCAGTCATGCCCACTGGCTCTTGCCTCGATTTTTTTTCTTTTGTCCAAGGCGCCCAGCAGATTGTAGCTCCTTGATGTTTTTCAACTTCATGGAGCTGCGCAACTTCTGAGTGGCAAGCTTCACCTTGTGGCTGCAGATTCGATGAGCAACAAAAGCAAAATGCAATCCAATTGAAACCACACACCTGAATGAATCACTTGTGCATGCCACTAGTGCATGCTGTCAGGTCTGAGGTATGAGACATCTTCCAGGGTTTGAAAAGTGCATTCAAAACATGCACTGCCATTTGAAGGTGAGTCAAAGCTACTCAAACAGAATGCCACACCCCATATTCAACAAACATCAATGAGTGAATCCCGACCTCTTCCAAGGCTTTCGCCTTTGATAGAGTATCAGGCATGGAGAATGCCTTAGTACTTCCAGATGCCTAATACTTCTCAGCATAAGTTTACTCTTGTCAGCAACGCTCAATGACCATCAAGACGGCCGAAAGGGAGAGTCCAGCCAAAAGCTTGTGTACACATGTGTGCATTGCCGTCAAATCCATCAAGTAAATGCCCAAATGTCTTGCCTCACCAAGGCACTTCCCGGGCGATTTTGGCAACATCCATCTGGGAGCGGAACTTTTGTATAACAACGCTCTTGCAGGTTGTCACTTGGCCATCTTCTTACACCAACACAAATATCCAGCAATTTGTTTCGTCGATATGTTGGTCAAGTCGCTGCATTCAAAGTGCAGAAGTCCGTGTGGGTCTTCCGCACTGCCACATGGCTTTGCCCCACAGAGGATTGCAGCTCATGCCTGGATGATACGCCCATTGTTTTGACTTTGTTTGTTGCTTCTGTTTTGACTTTTGCCAGCCAAGATGCTGTCGCATAAGGCATTGGAACTGTTCCAATGACTCTTCGACTCCCCAAGAGCGCTCGTATTTTACACTGCCTCAAACATAGTCAAACTGCAGGCGACGCAATGAGCAAGTTCATTATTGTTGCGTGCAAGCCTTCCATTGGAGGTAGGCGGGAGAGAAGCGCTTGGCATCTCTGCATAGCCTTTTCCTGCAAACAAACCAAAAATTGGTAGAGGTTTTATGCTCGCATGCTTCGACGTGACATGCCCTGGCCCCAGCCCTGATTCTTCAACCTGCAATGCTTGTCCTGCTGAGCACCCAGGCATCTTGCCTGCAGGAAAGCTGGCGGCAGTGAATCGTGCACAACAGTCTTTCTATCCTGTGAATGCAACTAACGAGCCATCATGCAACAAAGTCCAGAAACATCTGATTTTATGGGAAAACAACACTTGTCTTTTTATGGTTTCCCTTCACATCTGAAAGGAAGGCTTAGAATCTGGAAGTACCCACCACAAGGGTCTCCCAAAAAAGTACGAGTTCACAGCATGAGACAAAGCACCTAGTAGCAACGGCCTCCTACCTAATAGCAATGGCCTCCAACCGCCTCCAACCTAATACCAATGCCCTCCAACCGCCTCCAACCTAAAATTGCAATGGCCTCCAACCTAATAGCGATGGCCTCCAACCTAATATTGCGATGGCCTCCAACCTACTAGCAATGCCCTCCAACCCAAAAGCAATAGCCTCCAAACTAATAGTGATGGCCTCCAACCTAGGCCTCCAAGCTAATAGCCATGACCTCCAACGTAATAGCATTGGCCTCCAACCAAATAGCAATGGCCTCCAACCTAATAGCGATGGCCTACAACCTGATAGCGGCGGCCTCCAACCTAATATATAGTGATGGCCTCCAACCTGATAGCAATGGCCTCCAACCTGATAACGATGGCCTCCAACCCAATAGTGATGGCCTCCAACCTAAAAGCGATGGCCTCCAACGTAATAGCATTGGCCTCCAACCAAATAGCATTGGCCTCCAACCAAATAGCGATGGCCTCCAACCTAATAGCAATCGCCTCCAACCTATTAGCCATGGCCTCCAACCTAATAGCAATGGCCTCCAACCTAATAGCGATGGCCTCCAACCTACTGTAATAGCAATGGCCTCGAACCTAGAAGCAATGGCCTCCAACCTAATAGCAATGGCCTCCAACCTAATAGCGATGGCCTCCAACCTAGAAGCAATGGCCTCCAACCTAATAGCTATGGCCTCCAAACCTAATTGTAATGGCCTCCAACCTAATAGCGATGGCCTCTAAACCTAATTGTAATGGCCTCCAACCTAATAGCGATGGCCTCCAATCTGATAGTTGAATTGCGCGGGTTTACACATTGGTGCAGCTGGTGCGAATTGGCGAGAAAATGCTGATCGCTGCACGATCAGTCTTTTTATGTCTTTTTACCATACAAACAAATTCTGCTGCATCATTTCCCTTTTGATGCCTTGTCACATCAGTCACGCTTGCATTCAGTGGCACCCTGCCTGCGGCTTTTCCGGATAGCCGCCACTCGGCTTGCCATCCATGGCTCCAAGCAAAGCCCAAAACAACCAGCCATAAGCTGAGTACACATAAAGTTCCTGTGTTATTCACATTTCTATTTTCGAGATGGCCTGATGGTTCAGTCCGACAAAGCAGTGGCGCACCAAAAAGCTCGATTCTGTCGATATTGGTGATACCTTACGGAACCTCTGCACAGTAGCCAAAAAGCCAAAAATACGATGTTCGTTTTGGTAAGTCGCTTTCGCGTTTGAACAACCTGTTCGATGCCCAGGACACCCGAAACCCACAGTGCAAGGTATGCTCTGCAAAGATCTGCAAAGCATTGTCTGTGTGTGGCGGTGTTCTTTCGTTTTGTGACTTGTATCAACCTTGCGCTCTGGATAGCCCGAGTGCAACAAAGTTCTGCTGCGAGCATCTGTGAGCCATCAAAACAATACTTTGCAACCCCATTCACAATCAACAAGCTACCGAGAAAGTCAGCTGCACCAGTTGCCACGGACATTTTGCAACACAACATGTTGGCAACACTCTGAACAGGTTCGGTCTTCGAACCAGCGCAATGACAGACCGGTGACTGGATGATTTCTTTCTGCATCTTTATGTCTTTATGCATGCCATTTATGATCAATTAATGCATCAGAAAATCCTCGGCATCATTTAATTGCTTTACCTGAACATTCCTCGGCATCTGTGGCCTTTGGCGATGTCTCGCCATCTGCTGCACCTGGATGTTTGCACGTGTGGGGCCTAAATCAATTCCTACGTACATTGACTAAGACTAATTGGGGAAGGCTAGTATCAGGTTGAGGGCATGGACTGACAGTGTGGCTATTTGAACAAAGGTTGTTGGAGAAAAGCACCTGATCAACCTGCAAAGTGTGGACGAACCAAAGCGGCTCAAGGATGACACAACTTACTTTGGATCAACGCGTTTTGGATCTCAAACAGTGTTCATGGCACGGCAGGCTCGAAGTTACCCAAATTTCGGTTTAGCGTTTTGGTGTCCGTGTCTTCCAAGTGATTCCGTGCCTTTAGTGTGCTTCTTTCCTTTCGTGCGCCTCTTTCCGGCTTAAAATCTAGGAACCTAATTAAGCACGCGAAGAAACCTCAACGTTTCTGCGTTCTGGTGCCTAGACAATTTTGTAACCTTGCCAAACGCCTTACTGACCGTTTCTTCCTCATCATGTTTGAAACGTTCTGGATTTCCTGCCAAACATGTTTAAGGAAGTTTTTCAAATGAGTTTTGCTTGGCATCTGTGCAATTGGCACCATCAAAGGCCAGATGTCTGTTCCCGTCTGATGTGGAAGATGGAAACAATGCTGCCAACAGAGTAGCGAGAACATGGTTCAATAATGTTCAACCTTATTGTTTCAGTCCAATATGTTGAGATGGTGTTGCAATCAGGTTTCTGGCTCTGGTGTTTCTGGCAGTGCGAAGTATAATTCATCAGTGCCAAATTCCTTCTTACAGAAATGCAATTCTTCGCGGGGAAAGCATCTTTACTTTCGCACATATTTCGCGATCTCCAGACTCCATGTTTAACTTTCGCGGCGGGTGTATGTTGGAAGTCTTCTTGGTTTGGTTGTTGTACCTATCTTCCGCGAACTACACAAAAGACAACTATGCAACACAAGACGCTCTCAATGAACCTAGGCCTTATGTCAACCTTTTATGATCAACTACCATGTGCAATACTCATGCTATGGGTCGGCCATCACAGTTTATCTGTAGCGAGCCCAAACACTTGGTATGTGGCTCTTCAGTGTCAGCTGCCTTGACCAGTGGTGTTGGGTTGTTGCAGTTGACTTCAATTACCCCTTCCCCCCTCGCCCTGCAGACATAAAGCTTAGAAAGCTTTGCGGTGATCTTGCTGCTTGGTGGTGGAGTTGCTGTTGTTGGCCTTTGGCTGCCATCAGCCGTCAGCGGCCGCAGCTGTCTGGAACCATTGCAGTCAAGTTGTGCCTTTGGTGGGGTTTGGAGTCTTTGGAAGAAGAGCTCACTTAGTTTTTTGGGCAAGACTAGTCGCGTGTTCTCTAAATAGCATGCCAAGAAGCCCAACCTGATGCAAATGCTTGGTATCTGGCTACTCAGAAACGAATGTGACAAAATCGGCGCGCGCGCGCACACACACAAACTGGATAAAACAGGTGCATGCACCGCCCATCGTAGCTTCTTGTTCCTAGTAGTAAGGCCAGGAGCCCCTAGTAGCGTCCTTGCTCCTAGTAGCGATGCCAGGAGCCCCTAGTAGCTTCTTGTTCCTAGTAGTAAGGCCAGGATGAATGAGTTTTGAACTTGCATAAATTTTGTGGCCTTTGCTATTTGCGAAGCTGGGCGCTTGCTTCATCATGTTATGGCACACACAATGCGACATCTGATGCGTATCGTAGGTCAAGACTCATCATCCAAATGTTCTTGCATAACTTGTGTAAGGGTCCGAATGACGGCACATGTTCAAAACCCAACTTTGCCATGGGGCTCTGGGCTGTGCGGACATAGAACCAAAGGCCGGCAGCAACTGCTCCTCGGATTTGAACGTGGAAAGGTCATTAAGTCTCAACCGAATAGTTTGACGTACACTGAAACAACCTAGTTGCTTTCTTGACACGAGGGGCAGCTACAAGTTAGCCTCTGTTCGGAGTTTCAGCTACTTGCCATCCAACACTTTACTTATACTCCAAGCAGGACAAGGCTCCCAACATTGCTACGGCTATCCAAGGTGCAGAATGGTGCACATCCTGACAACGGACGGCTAATGTCAACCTATGATTGATCAATTCCCCCTGAATAAAGCTAAGCAAATCCCAAAACAAAATTGTAAATACACCCTAAATAAAGCTAAATGTTTTTACCACTGAACCTACTGTAGATTTCCCAAATCTGGCCTTTAAAAGGTGTCTTGAGTCTTGAAAAAGACTCCTGCCTCCAAAGAAAGCAAGCACCAATACTAAAACAGTATGTAGTCTATTTGAGGTACTGTATTTCAAAGGGGAGGGGAGGGGACCCCCCTATTTATAAATCGGAGGTGGACATTATGAACAATAGTGTGTCTTTCCTGCTACCAAAGACCTTGGTCGCAAAAGTCCAATCTCGAGAAGTCAAATTTCGACCGTTCACGTGGGCCGCAAACATCTGTGCGGACGCAATCGACTTTAGGTTTCCAGTGAGTCATGTATGGTATTCCGCACGGAAGCCACCCAACTCTAGTCTCTTGTCGAAAAGGGAGAGAATGTGAGAGACCTAAGAAAGCGCATCGGACAACACCACATCGTTACCGTTACCCTTTCTTGAAAAAAGTGGCACAACCACAACCGCACAACCATGCCTGGGCATCATCACCATGACTTTCACATACTTTCACACTGTCACATTACAGGCATGGTAGCAAAATCAGAAGGATGACTTACCAGCGGCATGTCAACGTCAACCACGACATTGCATGGCATTGCATGGAACGTGTACAAATTTGCGTTGTTCACGAAAGCATCGCCGGGACACCCTCAAGAGCCTGTCAATGAAACCCTGCATAGCGGGCATCAGCACAAGCACCATCAGAACAACTACAGTACAATTGGGGCAGCATCACAGGCATACGTAACATGGAGACCTCATATCAGCGTACCCAAACTGGTATGTTGACCCGACAGGAATGTAGGACACTGAGGTGACACTGTTGGGGGGCAAAGACCCAAGCAGGAGTCTATTGGGAACTGGTAGAGGGTAGCGTCATAAACAAGCGTGGAAGTGTGTTCAGTGTTCTTATATATATATATAATACAATACAATGCGATACAATATATTGTTGTTTAATGTTGTTTGCTGGTTTATAATTGCCTGTGCTGTGTTGTGAAATTGCACACGACCATCGCCACCTCGTAGAGCGATGCAAAAAGGATCGGGCCAATGACTCGTGCCATGGCTTGAAAAGCAGCCATAGCGCCTTTGAGCACACAATACAACTGCCGAAGTTGGCTTCTTGAGTGACTAGTCTTCTCAAGCTCTGCCACACTTTCCCTGGCTACAATAAGTGAGCGTAACAAGAGTGAGTGCATATGGCCAGTAGCTGACAGGCTCAAGTCAGTCAGTCTAGCTGGCAATCCCGCCTAAGCATGTTCCGTAGGCAGCTTTACCAGAAACTTCCGTCAAAAGGGAGGTGACATTTGGAGCCCCAAGGTTGTCCTTGGCGCGTTTTCCCGAACGAAACGAAGCAAGTTCGCACTGAAGGCCTTTATTTTTAATCCCGGGGGGGTAGGGCGCTAGGAGGGGTAGGTAGTAGCTAGAGGTAGCTTGTAGCTAGGGAGTCGCTAGTACCTGCAAGTAAGCTACTACCTATGGACGCAGGGTAGCTCGCGCTTCTTCAAGGAAAGGCGGCGGGGGAAGCTTCCTTGAAGAAGCGCTCGCACTAATGATTTGGTTCCTAGATTTTTAGGGAAACTTAACATTATCAAGCTTTACGCCAAGCATCTCCAACATTGGTCATGCCTGGCCAAATCACAATAAAAATTCAGTCTCGATTGAGTGGTCTGTCCGACTCTAAGTCTTACCGCTCTGCGCCTTGTCCAACAAGAAATAGCCATTTGGTGGGCGCAAGCCCTATGCCAATGAATCCCAAAAGGCGAAGACAAACGCCTTTCATTCCACAGCGTTGAGAATAGATGTGTCTGGAAATTGCAAACTTGCAAACGAGCCCTTTTTCAGCAAAGGAGCTAATGACCACTGTGCGCCTGAGGTTTATAAGCCGATATCTGCCGTCAATTTCTGCACACAAACAGTCGCCGCAGCGAATTGCAAGGGTGCTTATCAACGACGGAAAAAGAAAAAAGAAAAAGAAAGGTCTAAAGAAGAACAATAAGTCCATGGAACCTGCTGCTTAGCACTTTTATTTTGCCCAGGAGCCACTGTTTCAACAACTCCATACAAGTTGGAAATACCACAACTGTAACGAAGACCACAATGATACCAGACATTGCCATACCTTGCAGACTCATTCATGGTAGACTTCCCGTCAACAATTTGAGAAGTGAGAAGACACAATCTTCACGTTCAAAGCAAAGTCAAGACATTTAACAAAGAGTGTTCCAAAACTGATATTGTGGCTCTGCAATCTGCGCTCTTATTTGAAGAAACACATACAGGTCAAGAAGGACTAGTAAATACAAGCCAGCGACAATTATATATATAGGTCTATAGTGTGCGATAAAACTAACATGTCTGCTCCTAGTCAACCACCTAATTCGATCACCTAGCAGTGGAATAGCCAGCAGCCAGTAAATTGGCATCATTATATAAATACAGTTGCCGCCAGCAAAGAATTGAGAACTTGCTGTTGCAGGTGAAGGATAGAACCAAAAATAACCTTGGAGCAACTTGGAATCAAAACGAGCAACTGTGAGCCTCGCCAATTCAATATACTAATTGCAATTATCGTTTTCAGCAACAATGGGTTCGCTCTTTTGATAAGAGTACGTAGATTGATTTCTTGCACCATGCTCTGAATGTCTATGTGGTTCCGTTGTTTCCTCACAAACCCGACCAGTTTTGCCTTCCTGCAATTTTCCGGTGTCACGAGGTTTGAAAGCTGGAACATGTTGTTTGCAGTCCAACCCATGCTGTCTCTACAAGATTTGGTTGCTCAGGGATTCAGTGCTACATATCAATATGACAATTCCGTAGCTTGTACCAAGAAACTGTCCATGATGTAGAGTGCAGCACAGCTCTCCCATGCCTTGAATGGGGGAGATAATTCAAAAATACGTGGAAGACCGTCTGAGGCCAGTACGTCGACACCCGGTGGTGGCTTCAACACACAGTTGGTACCACGCGCATCAATAATCATACAAATACGCTTGCCGTCCGACTTTTGCAGAAAGAAAAGGCCACTGGGAAGGGTCGCTTTAAACTTTAAACATGTCAGCTGAAGGCTTGGCCACAGCTTTGGGATGTGAGTTTCGGGGCGAGCTTTGAGCCGGGCATGTGCTACTCCGCCAACGTATCGACAGTTGTAACACCTTTGTCGCAACACCTTTGCTGCCAGGATACAGCCATCCCAGCCTGCAACCACGGAGAAGAGGAATTAATCAAGCGTTGTTGCTACTTATATCTACTTGTATTGTTACAGTACTTGAGGCAAGCAGTAAGCAAGCAAGCAAGTGAAGTGAGCGGTGACATTGGCTGGCAACGGTCGAAACTCGTTGAGTTCCGAGTCCCGAGGTGACGGTGCCCAAACCTGGTGTTGCCTTGTAGTCCCCTTTGTGGCACCAAACTTGAGGCCAGGGGAGGAGGTCGAAAGCCAGCGTTTCTTTATCCACCCTGCGGTCGTTGAGGTCAAATCTCAATCCTTGCGTCAACTTACCATCGAGATTTCAGTGAAGTGGGACCAAGTGGGTTAGTATAGACACATATTATCAAAGTAAATGAATGTAAAGTCCACTATACTTGAGGCGATGGAGGAGGAAAAAGGTAGAGCCGAGCAGCAGCAGCAGCAGCAAAGCAGGAAATGCATGGAGGAATGAGGTAGAATGACCCTAAAAAATCACCCACATTTGCCTTGCGCAACCCTTGGTTTTCGTATAGTATAATTTTGGGAGGGTCGTGCAGCACACGAGACCAGTTAAAGTTAAAGCTATCACTCTCCACCCTTGGAACGCAGACACCACGAAGGCTGTGACGAATACTGCCTTTAGTAAGATCGAGTGTATTGCGTCCGAGATGTGGAACACTTGCATGGAACACTCGCAATCGCTCCTATACCCGCGCATTTCCAGGTGGGAGCTTGAGCTGTCGATCCAAACACAGGTCGTGACCTTGACCCCGCCAGGAAGAGGTTGCAGTGATAACCTCCTGACAGCGCTCGAACGAGCTGGCGATCCACCTTCACGTCGGCGCACGTCAAGGCATTAGTGAGAATCTCAACGACCAGCCATCGTGCGGAGATCACGCCCATCCACGATCATAATCATGTCAAGAGATGTTGGATGCTGATCTGAGGCCAACGCAAACAGTAC